TTTTCAATGCATTCCTATGGGAAATGCAGATTTGACCTGAGAACTTTTTGATTTGAGAACCACCTTCCAATACGGATTAAGTTCTCAAGTCCAGACCCCACTGTACTTAAGACAGTGTAGTAAGTGCTAAATGGTTTCTTTTTCTGCCTGGAAAAGAGCCTCGTGGCGCAGTGGTTAAAACGCTGTACTGCAGCTAAAACTGTGCTCACGACCTGGGGTTCAAATCCCAGGTAGCCGGCTCAAGGTTGACTCAGCCTTCCATCCTTCCGAGGTCGGTAAAATGAGTACCCAGCTTGCTGGGGGGGCAATGTGTAGCCTTTATAATTAAAATTGTAAACCGCCCGGAGAGTGCTTGTAGCGCTATGGGGCGGTATATAAGTCCAATAAATAAATAAATAAATAAATAAATGAGTGGTGTGGGCCGAGCTGCCATATGGTCTGTAAGCACAGATCAAGAATGTTCCAGAGCCTGTCCTGGTTGCCTAAAACACCTCACTGCAAAAACCCTTGAGAGTCAAAGTAGACATTCAGGAAAATGCCTATTGCTCCCCATTACCTTGTTCTTCCTCCTAAAATTGGATTTCCTCAGAGATGCACGGCTTGACAGAATTACAAAATCAAAATCTCATGCTATGGCAGAGCTTTTTCACTGTTTGAAAGAACACCCTGCCTAAAAATGTAAGCACATTTAGTTCAACCCTAAGATAGTTTGCTGTGGAAATGGCATATGTAGCATATGACTTTTTGCCTGCACTCACTTTTGTTGGCTCTATTTCTCTTGTTAAAAATAACCACATTACATTTGGGTGGGAAAGTTGTGGGAGCTTGTTTGGAGTAAAGCCAATTTTCATTCTTAGTGTTGTGATGCAGCAGTGCTGAAGAAACAGCCAGGTACGGATGTAAGTGAATTTAGGGATAAAAAAGGGTCAGTAAGAAGGGAAAGAACCCTTAAAAAGACATTGTGAAGTGAGGCAGTGACTTTAAAAAATCAATAGCTTTTTAAAAAAATGCATCCCAGAAAATAAGGCAACTCCAAAAAAAAAAAATTCTTACGTAGTACACTAGCCATGCTGTCAAAGAAAAGCCAGGACTTTCGAGAAGGACCATATCTAACAAAAGCCACATAATGGTTGCTCTCTATGCACAGAACCGCAAACAGATCCAAGGTGTGCTTCTTAACAGAGGGGCTGTGGAAGTTAAGTTCTTTATAAGAATGCTTCAGTCTTGTCTGATGAGCCTGTGTGAAATAAACACAACAATTAGAGAAGCGTAGTATTTTTTCTTCCTTCTCCACCATCCTAAATTAAGTAGTAGTTGTAATCCTGTTTTAAACTTTCTTGAACAATACTGTTTTTCTTTCTTTTGAGTGTATCCAGGTAGGTGGTTTTCACTGGTATCACATCACAAGCTCAAAGTTTCTATCACTTCTGCCGGTGCCATGGAAGAGCAGACTGGATTGAGGTGGGTGGGGGATAGCCTGACCTTGAGGTGGAGTGGCATGCCAGTGGCCCTAATAGACACCACTGAACAGAGTTGTGTAAGAAGGGCCTTCATTACCAAATGAGTTAGATTTGCTACCTTTTACGGATTGGCACCTTCATAGTTAAGCAGATAAGAGACTTTAGCAATGTCCTTTACATCAGTGGTCCCCAACTTTTGGCCTCCAGATGTTCTTGAACTACAACTCCCAGAAGCCTTCACCACCACCTCTGCTGGCTAGGATTTCTGGGAGTTGAAGTCCAAGAACATCTGGAGGCCCAAAGTTGGGGACCACTGCTTTACATCAGTGGTTCTTAACCTTTGTTACTCGGATGATTTTGAACTGCTACTCCCAGAAACCCCAGTCAGGACAGCTGGTGGTGAAGGCTTCTGGGAGTTGCAGTCCAAAACTCCTGAGTAACCCAAGGTTAAGAACCAGTGCTTTACATCATCAGGAGGCAGACTTGTGTCTATCTCCCACTCTCCACCAAACTTGAGATCCACTAATCAGAAGCAGAGTTAACTACTGACCTCCACGGAAGATATATTTTATATATAACTCATGTGCACAAATGTACAGCTGGCTTACTAAAAACTCAGGATGTTTACTCAAAGTAGTTAACAAGACCTTGGTCTAAAAACAACACATGATGCCCTTTTACAGATGAAGAACATTGAAGCCAAAAGTGATTAGGGCAAAGCCAGCTGTGTCTGAGATTGCTCATTTGCTGCTGTTAAACTACTAGAAGCCAGAAATTCTTTCCAGCCAATTGAAACTTGTTGGAAATCCTGATTTACATATAGGTGAACCATGAGACTGGCCCTAAAACTGGCAACAACTTTTGCTGGTGTCTTTATAGAGCTGCCTACAACCACTTCTACTAGAACAGTGGTTCCCAAGCTTGGGTAACCCAGGCCTTCTTGGACTTTAACTCCCAGAAGCCTTCACCACCAGCCAGGGTTTTTGGGAGTTGTAGTCCAAGAACACTAAATGAACCAAGATTGGGAATCCCTGTACTAGAAGAAGAGTGGAATCCTGAAGTGAAGAGATTGTCCCCCATGCATCCAGAAAAGCTGCCCTGGAGAACAAGGAAACCCTACAGAGTTGGTTTGCAGGCAAGAAGAGGCCTGCAGGAGAGAAGGAAATTCTGTCCACCTGTCACTCCAAGATTTGCTTGACGTTGGGTTTACACTTTTATTTCCATCCTAAAACAATCATTTGGTAAAATCTCCTACCTTTGAAATGTTGCCAAATAATTCCATGTATTTCGGGTGGAGATGAAGATCCAGATGGCACCATGAGCATCTGTATGCTGTCTGCCCACCGCATACACAACAAACCTGAGGGGCTACAATCACACAACAAGAATCTAGGTTTGATGGTGTCTTAATTACATCTATATAGCAGCTAAAGTAAATTGCTCAACACAGTGTGTGGGGTTTTTTTCTGTGTTAGATTACAACTGCTATCACCCCCAACTAGCTCTGGACATGCTGGCTGGGGATAGTGGAAGTTGTATTCTAAACTATCTGGATGAATGCAGATTGGAAAGGCTGCCCCCCCCCCCCGGTTACTCACCACAGACCAGCATTTCAGTAAGTCTGTCTTACCGACCCATGAATATCCCTTCTGAAAAACTAGCCTGTATGTTATTAATTTTTCTCTTTTCTGTAATACTCTATTTTTAGAAACCCCTTCTACCAAAACTATAATTTAGTATTTATTTAAAATGAGCACAGTATGTGACTCATTATGGGAGTGACACAGCCCTGGAAGATGTGACATCAGATGGGAGGGAAGTCAAGGACTGACAATGAACCTTTTTCTAAAAAATCGCTAAGGAGGATCAAGTACAGCTGAAGCTGAGAAAAACTGCAAGAGAGGCAGCCTGATGCGGTACATGGTTACTCCAGAGTAAGATCTATTGAATTCATTGAGATTTGCTTTGAATCAGAGGATTGTGGCTTTCTGGGAGGACGGGGACATGGCATCACAAATAAAATATGCACAAACAAAACAAAAATAAAATATGCACAAAGAAAAACAAAGGTGTTGTAGTATCTTTAACAACTATATTTCACTGTGAGCTTTCACAGATTACGATTCACTTTAAGCACACTTTTCAAGATTACATATAAGCAAATTATTTTAAACACAGTCTATGGCTGATCAGAGCCAAACTTATAAATCCAGGGGTCTTATAGCTATTTCTAATTATTAAGCTCACTCATAATACAGTGAAGGATTCTACCGTCATTTGTGACCTTTTTCCTGTTCTCGCTGTCTCTGTGATTGATTTGTCCATTTCACTTCCCTGCAGGTTAGGACTTTAGTGATCAATCAATGCAGTTTCCCATGGACCACCAATTTCCAACCTGTGGGATATGGGCCACAGTTGGGAGCTAGTGCTATGTGGAATACCTGACCTAAGTATTGAGTATACGTCCATAGTCTCTTTATATATACACATACAATAAGAGAGATACAAATAAATGTAACAAGTATGAGATCGTTGAAATGAAAATAGTCTAATTTAATTCAGAAAGGCTTTGGCTTGACAGAGATCCCACTTAAACAACACCAGAACTTCCAAAGGTTTATGAACTTACCTTGATCCAGCAAATGTGTGAGGTCAAGTTCTAGAGAGGGATACACTGATGAAAACTTTTTGAAAATCTTTCCAAACCTGGGCATCTGCAAGACGAGGCAGGCTGGAATCTGAAAGGCAAAGAAGAATTTGTGTTTTTTTATGAAGTGCATTACAGCTCATGATGGATTGGGTGAAAAACACTTGTTCCTGCATGGATTGTTGCTACTGTTGTTATCGCATGAAATATATCTGCAGAAAAGGGATGGAGAATTTGCAGTCCTTCAGATATTGGTGGACTGGAACTTTCAATCCTCCATGGCCATTTATCTTGCTGGATGGGGCTGATGGGAGCTGGTGGCTACAGGTTCCCCAGCACTGCTGTAGATGTTCAAAAATGATGACGTTGGGGTTTGATTTCAGATCTTAGCTCAGATATGGGATACATGCACATCCACAGGCAGGCAGAGTATCTGAACCTCAGTTTTCCATTTGCGGTGTGCAGAATCATGACACCCAACATATAGGAATGTCAAACCAACTGAACTAAACATTATCCAGTTCTTTGTGTGTTACAACAATAGCAAAATATTGGTTTTGAAGAACTGAGGAGGTGGTGATCATTTTGAGAAAAGTGGAGTAGCGAACCACCTTGGACTGGCATAGTACAACCATCCAGATGTTGTTGGACTGTGGCTCCCAGCATTCCTCATCATTGGCTGTATTGTGCAGATGGGGATGCTGTCCAGCAACATCTGGAGCCCACTCTGGCTTTCAGACTCTTGTTCTTTCTAATTTATTTGCTCATCACAAGCCCATCCAGCATTTCATCCCTGCATTGTATAAATTACAGTACTTGAGCTCTGGAAGGAAGGGGAGAAAAAGAAGACAGGGCATTGTGCTTATATTAAGAGGAATCCCCCTCCACCTATGCAAAGTGTTATCTTCAGCCATTGCATACTTCACCCAACTTTAGGTCATTGGAGAGCAAGGACTTTTCTAGCAGCTGCTGCACAGTGGGGACTTTGATGGTGGCATCTGTCTCTGCAAGGATCTGATAGCAGTTATACTCAAGCACTTCGCTCTCTGACCTAAAATTTTAGATGGAGAAGAAATATTAAATTTTCTAGCATATATACTGTATCAGCCTTATCTAACCTGGTGCTCATCAGATACGTTGAACTAGTACATCTCTCATCATCCCCAGGTAGCACATCAATTATTGGGAATGATGGGACTTTTAGATCTATATAGATGAGATGAACTTGGTTGAGGAAAGCTGGCACAGATACTGTATATATATTACATGTTTACCATGGATAAAATCTGCCTTAGGAATATTTGTTGCATTAGAAGACTGAATAGCTTTTCTACTATGAAAGCAGCTATGCAAATTTAGGGGGTGTTCAAGCTTTTCTCTGTTTTTCCCTGGGAGAAAACTCTCCGGGGCATCCCATCTCCTTTCCTGCCAGTCAATGCAATATAGACATCTGGGTGTTCCTTGGTGGCTACATTTTTAAGATAAAGGTCAGAATTGGGCGGCTACAAGTATGATTGACAGCTGATCCGAAAACTACACATAGGCACTGGCCAGGCTATTGGTAAGAGTCTTCTTAGGAGTGGTCCAGGTTATCTGAGTTTGGAGAAGTTATTCTTTTGGAGTACAAGAGTTACTCAGCTGGCACTCTTGGAGTTATAGTCTAAAACAATAACTTTTCAAAGCTCTGGCTTTTTTTCCTTTCAGACCAGCTGATGCAAATATTTCTGTTTTAGCCTTTTAAAAAAGCTGTTCTTAACCCAAGATATGATTCCGTACTATGCCAATCCAAAAAAACTACTGAGTGGCACCTTCTCAGGCTGTCCCAAACTGCTCAAGCCACTCAAGATGCTGGGGTGCATTCCTGTACCCCTTTCTGGTTCCACAACAAAGCGTTATGTAGATATGAGAATTCATTTTTTCCTGGGAGATGGCATCCTTAGCCACTGTTATGATATCAGATCCCTGAAAGCAGAGATAAACAGCTATAGATACATTAAACTCTTACCTAATTTTCAGCAAGGGTTCTACAGCCAAGACTTCTCCTAGTAGGACATTCAAGAATTCTTCTGGATCTGTAAAACAGAGTAGCTGTTAGGACAGCCAAATGGTTCAAGCAATCAGCTTTCCGTGTCATAAGGCTGCACCATTTTCGTTGTGGACAGACACTTACCTTTCTCTTCTGTAACAAAGCTTTCGCATCGCAGCATTCTCCTCAAGTTCATCACATTCTCAGCTCCCACATAGCCGTGCCTGGCAAGGAGCAAAACTTTGATGAGTTTATGCTGCTTTCACCTGCTTAGCGTCCAAAGACTGGGGAAGTTACTTTGAGGCAATTACAGCTCCCAGAATCCCACAATGTCCATGTTGGCTGTGGGAAGTTAGGAGCTGTAGTAACTGTGCCAAGCTCTGTCAGTGGCTTGGCCTTATACACTGTTTGATAATTTATAGATAACTACAGCTAGAAATGCAACCATTTTGGATGTAACCAAGGAAACTACTGGGCAAAAATATCCCTTTGGGAGCTGCAGGGGCAGGTTGCTATCATGATGGAAATTGATGCTACCTCACGACTAGTTCTCTCTTTATCCAAGTCCTGTCCTGTGCTCAGTTTGTACAGAAAAAAAGCCCAGGTATTAGTATAACTGTGTGGTCTAGCTTAATGCAAAACCCACTGTCTGGAAATGAAATTGGCCTTGTAAAAAGTAGATCCATTGCAATTTCCTATTCTCTTTTATTTATTTACTCACTACATGTATATCTTGTCTATCTTTCATTGAGCTCAAGATGGCTGTGCATGGGTTTCCTACTTCACACTTTACCCTCCCAAGAACCCTATGAGGTAGATCGGATGGCGAGATATGAATCGTCGCAGAGACAGGAAATGTTCATTTTCAGAACTGCAACTCCTATAACCAGCATAAAGTACTCAGTGTGTAATTCTGGCAATCATTGCCCCCCCCCCCGCCAATGTGTCCTGTCTCCGCACTGTCTCAAGATAACTCAAGAAGATTCATGGATGAACTGGGTCTCCTTGTGCCTAGCCAAACCCTTGGTGTACTATGGCCAGGCAAGAGCAAAATCCAAATGCGTTAGTAGATCTCTCTGGGGTATTTGCAATAGATTGGTACCCCGTACTTTATTCAGTTAAAAAGTCTGTAAGTCAAGCCGTCTGTAAGTCAAGGGTCCACTGTACTCAGTGTGTGGTTCTGGCAATCATTGCCCCCCCCCCAATGTGTCCTGTCTCCGCACCGTCTCAAGATAACTCAAGAAGGTTCATGGATGAATTGGGTCTCCTTGTGCCTAGCCGAACCCTTGGTGTACTATGGCCGGGCAAGAGCAAAATCCAAATGCGTTAGTAGATCTCTCTGGGGTATTTGCAGTAGATTGGTACCCCGTACTTTATTCAGTTCAGCAATATAGGTTAAAAGGAGAGTAGACAGTGTCACTTATTTTTGCTATTATTAAAAATTTGGGAGTCAGAGATTTGTGCGACCCTATAGCAAATCAAAAGAGTTTGATCAGTAGATCTCTCTGCCTGCCACTGACTGTTGCAGGAGAAAACTTATATTTCAAAAGCTGGAAAAGTTGAGGGAGGAGAGAGCAGGCAGCTCCCAGAAATCTCTAGTCACCATGTCTACCTCTGGACATTATAGCACAAAAATGTGATATTTCCAAACTCTGAAATGAGAGTTGTTTTATTTTCGCCTTCTTTTCTCACAATGAAAAATTTCTTCATTAGCAGGTGATACATGTCACTGGCAGAAGAAGCAATAAATAACAATCTGATACAGAAAACATAATAGCCAAACTTGACTACCACTGGTTGTTGCTGTTTAGTTGTTTAGTCGTGTCCGACTGTTCGTGACACCATGGAGCAGAGCACGCCAGGCCCTCCTGTCTTCCACTGCCTCCCGGAGTTGGGTCAAATTCATTCTGGTAGCTTCAATGACACTGTCCAACCATCTCATCCTCTGTCGTCCCCTTCTCCTCCTGCCTTCACAACTGGTTAGGTGGTTTTAAAAAAATCATCTAATGGAACTCACTGCCTCAAAGGCTGCACAATCTGTTGCCTCAGGATTTGCTGTGCCCTTGTGTCTTTTACATCAGCAGAATAGAGGATGCCATCCAGGGCAGAGGAGAAACTGAACAAACTGCAAAGGAGTAAATACACATTGATCATGTCAGCTGGAATATGAAGGAGACATACACACTATTAAGCACAAAATGACAATAACAACTACATAGACCTGGCTAACAACTAGACCAACCATAGATGGTGCAGGCCTTGAGATAACAGCATTCTCCAAATGACTGTGTTCTATTTTAGCTTTGTCTAGTTGTCTGCTTTCCGGGAGGTATACATTGGGTAGCATTGCTTGGGCCCAGGACACAATGGCTGAAATCCTCTTTCTTGGTGTAATAAGTCACACCAAAGGACACCCATTTAATCAGTGGGGATTTGATAAGTCAACTTCTACATAAGTTCCATTGGTTCAAATAAGCCTACTCTCTACTTGTGACTTACTGTGCTAAAGAGTATGCCCATTTAAATCAATGGTATTATAAAGGGGTTGGCTCGCCCAATCTTACTCGCTTACTCTAGTGAGATGCACCAGGCTAAACAGCAGGATTTCAACCACTGTTGAAGGGGCAACCTCAGACTCAGGTTCTATCTAGAGTTAACGCCGAACACACCTGAAGAGGGTTGTGTCAAGGTAGCAGGAGTTGCAGTGTCCCTGGATGCCTTTCATGGCACCTTCCATCTTCTGCAGAACCTCCTGATTCCATGCTGCCTCAGCATTGTCTTCTGCCAAGTACTGGCTTAGACAACTGCCCTCTAGAAAAAAAATAGTTGGATCAATATGTGAGACAATGGGCCCTGTTATTCATCATTATGATAATGAAAAAATTAAATCAAAGCTCCCCAGACTTGCGTCCCCAATCACTATTGGACTTCAGCTCCCTTAAGAAGTGTGGGGAGACCCAGTTTCAATTCCCCCAGCCGCTGGGGTGACTTTTTGCTGGTCACTATAAGGCAGAAT